TTAACTATATATTAGGCTATACCGGGTAAATTCCAATTTAGGTAGCTTTTATTGTAATTTAAAAATTGTTCTTTATTTCTAGAAAATCTTAAATATGTTAAAAACCTTACATTTTAGTCATATACTTCTGTTATAAAACTAACCTTTATTTTTCTCCCAGAATCCGAAAATCAATTAATATATAGGGTGTTTCATTACAAAAAAACATAACTTTGATATGTAACTTTTTTGGGGACACCCTGTAGAAGTCTCTACATTTTTAAAAAGTGCTCTGAATTAACCTACATATGCCCACAAAATTTCATTTCAATACAAACTGTCGTCCTCCTTAGAGCCTCCGCGGAGCGGCGTATGAGAGACGCCACCCTGTACATTCCCAAATATTTTTTAAAAATTTGCGATGCAACAGAAAATATAAAAGAATAGAAATTAAATATGGTGTGTATTCTGAATCGGTACGTTTCGGGAATGTACGTATCTAAACGCCGGGTTTACCACAAATATGAGTGTGTATAAAAATGTAGATGGCGCTGCGATACAGGGAAGTTTAGGTTACCACAATTCTGAAAGTGTGTGATACCAATAAATATTATGATTTGTGGAAACTTACACACGTAATTTTTCGGATCGAGCCGACCAGACTAATTTTGACCCGAGGATACCGAATTTGCTATCAAAAATTGTGGTATACGCGTGTATGTATACCATAATTGAGACGTATGCCACAAATACTACTACTGCACACAAGGTGTCACAAATATGGTCACACACATACACACTATGGACTTGTAACCTGGGCACCTTCGAAGGAACAAGACAACCTACGACTCGAACAGATAATTAAAAACTGAGGAACAGGGAAATAGCTTATTCGGTATCGAAGAAGCGCGTATGACTTTTAATATGATTAGTAATGAGCGAAAATACTCTAAACTGGGTGATTTCACTCAAATTTTTATTGTGTAAAACTATAACTTGAGTTTTTAAGTGAATTTTTCTATTCCATTACTCAAAGATAGGGGTTATAACTCGAGCATGAGCTTATTCAATAGCTATTGATTAAATAGAGATCATATTTGAGTAAAATGATGAATTTACTCTATTTTAGATAAAAATGTACTCAATTATTTCACTCAAAAAATTCACTCCCTGAGAAATATGTGTTCACTCAGGCTGATTTTTTACAGTGTACGTCAATTTGACATACGTGCTTCAGTAACGTATCTGATGATAACTACCAACAATTATTGATAACGTAAAATAAAATAAATTATTGGGTCTACCCTACATCATATTTTACGTTTTGAATAAAATTAGAACGGCACTGATAAACCGGAATTTAAGTCGGCCATCTTTGGTCCCCATCGCTCTCGAGGGGTCGGGTAAAGCGGGTGTGTGGCCGAAGAAAATATATATTATTTCAGAAATATGCCTCAGAAAAAATATGCCTTAGAAAATATGGCTTAGCCCGGTCCTGTCATGTTAAGTCACACCCAAAATTCCAAACACGCGTGCTTTTATTAAGGTTTGCAGAGTTTCAGCATTTGCCATAAAATAGCGAGCAATTTGTTACAAAACCATATAAATTATATATCATAGCCGACGATATATTTAGAGAACATATTTTAGGCAAGCTAGAATAACTAAAAATGTATAGTTTATAAACTGGTGAACCCAGAATCCTAAGTCTGGTTGGGGGGTTGGGGGTATTTCGCTACTGCGCAACCCATAACATTTGCAAAAAAATAAATCCAAAAAACATTCTTTAGGCAACTTGAAATTTGTCTATTCTTAAATTTTAGCATCTATTTAACCTTGAAATAAGTATGCCAGACTTTTTTTCGGGTTTAAAGTGTAACCCGACCGTTCCAAATATGTTTAATTATTATACCTGGAAAACATACTTTAGGCATTCTAAAATTTTTACAGCGTGTTTATTAGATGATATTATTATATGTGTTAATTGCCAGACGAATTCAATGGGATTTAATACTTGCCAGACGCGAATAAAGATTTTAAATGAGCGCGATAAGGAAGTCTTATGAGTATCTATAAGCACGAGAAAGAGAGTTTATTGGGACCTGTCGGCAGCCGATGCGGCTGACGTAACAGCATTTTGGAGTCGTAAAAATTTAAAAAAAAACTAACTAATATTGAATAAATAAAAAGAAACATTTTCTAATAAAAATGTATGATTGAAATCCTTTCAATAAGAAGACTTTTTAATTTAAGTATTTTGTATCTGAAAGAATAAAAAGACGAATAATTATTTAAAAATTAGCATAATATAAAATATATTTTTTTCAAACGTCACAAAAGTATAATTATTATTATACTTTTGTGACATATTATATTATTATTAATATTTGCGACCTGATTGACAATATAAAAAAGTCATTTTAACGCCTAAGCATAAAAGTAAAGCACTTTTACTTACTTTTTAATCTATTTAGAAAGATTAACAATGGTACTTTAATAAAATTCCAGAATACTTATTTTTTTAGCACTGTACATGGTACCCTTTTGTCGGGACTACGTTTTTTGGTAAAACCACTTCTTTAAATTTTAAACCATGTTGCGTTGGCGCACTTTTAAAAATTCCTTGCATTTTTGTAGTCTGCCTTCATCAAAAACAATAACTTTGTCACTATTAACTTTTTTACAAACTACACAACTTAAATGTTTTTTATCCATTGTGATTTAGTAGTTAGTAGCGAAATTAGTAGTTACTAGAATATTTATTTACAGTAATTATTCTAAACTATTTACACCATGCACGTCAATATTTAATTTATAAATACATATTTGTACATGGTAACTTAATTCCAACAAAATAATCTCTGAATTAAAAGCCTGCAAATAATTGAAATGAAACCGAAAAAAAATTGTTTTTATGAAAATTTGAAGTACTCCAAGATACTGTTAAGTTAACCGCATCGGCTCATCATCGGGTCTCAATAAATTATCTTTCTCGCGCTTATATACTCATAAGACTTTTTTGTCGCGCTCATTTAAAATCTTTATTCGCGTCTGGCAAGTATTAAATCCCATTGAATTCGTCTGGCAATTAACACATATTTTTTAATATCATCTAATAAACACGCTGTAAAAATTGTAGAAGGCCTATAGTATGTTTTCCAGGTATAATAATTAAACATATTTGGAATGGTCGGGTTACACTTTAAACCCAAAAAAAAGTCTGGCATACTTATTTCTAGGTTAAATAGATGCTAAAATTTAAGAATAAACAAATTTCAAGTTGCCTAAAGAATGTTTTTTGGATTTATTTTTTTGCAAATGTTATGGGTTGCGCGGTAGCGAAATACCCCCAACCCCCTAGCCAGACTTAGGATTCTGGGTTCAAAAGTTATTAAAGTTTATTTTTTTGTTATTCTAACTTGCCTACTGTAATCACAAAACTACAGTTTGTTTCTGTATTCTCTCTCTCTCTCTCTCTCTCTCTAACGGAATTTTAAATTATGTCTTTATTTTCGAGAAAATTTAATCCAAACATACGGAATATTTTGTTGATGTTTGACCATCAAAATCTTAAAAATAAAGAAGTTATCTAAAAATGTGCTACAATACGGATATAGTATAATCCTTTATCTTTAATTTCCTTCTTCATTTCGGTAAAAAATACCTAGACAGTTTTAAATAAAACGTTAAATGCCCTAACAGTTTTTCTTAGTAAATTTTTAACAGTTTTTCTTAGTAAATTCTAAATATTTCTTACTCACTTTCGGGTATATTTGTCTCCAAATATATCGGTGCTCCCTCGTAACTGACCACTTCACCATCTTCCCCGTAAAACACAGATATATTGCCCAGGTATTTTGTGTAGGCGGAGGCTTGTACAATAAGCACCTCCTTGTTATTTTTGCTAGTTACTATAGTAGGGTAGGGTCCTCCAGGTGTGTCTGGACCTTGTGGATTATCTGCAAATCCATAGGGTTAAAGGGATATGATATATTCTTATGTGAGAGGCTTTATCAGGATTTTGCTAAGTCTGTCTTAAGTTTTAGTATATCCCCGTATAGGAGTTGAAAAACATATTTTATTTCTATGTACTATATGATCGAGAAAAAAAAACGGCGTCAGAGACGGCTGGGGAATATCTATCGATGATGTTTTGTCGAGGTCAAGTCTAGACGTTATTTACTTGATCGTATCCTTAAAATAGGGCTGAATGTAAAAAACTGCTTAAGCATGACGGAAAAATTCTGTTTTACGTTTTTTTGCATGAGTGTATTATTTTCACCCCCAATTATGACTTTTATTATGTTTTTAAATAGATGCTTCAAGTTTTTAACTAAATTAAGTGAATATTTATGTTTTAGGTACTTGAAAGTACTAGACATGTCTAAACTAAATTCTGCACATGGATAGAACTATCCGAACTGAGTCTCGACGGACAGACGGTCATTTTAATACAAATTTTGTAAAAGTTGAAAATTATTTATTACCCTTTTCAACGTAAGAACTGTCAGTAAGAAGTTTCACTTCAAATATGCGCACATCTATGATGCGCACATAGTGCACATATAATTTTTTTTAATATTAATCTTCTATTATACTAATTTTATGTATTAGTGGTAAAATAAACTAGATTTTCATGCCGTCTTCATAGTTATGCAGACCGTATACCTGTTTATAATAGTAGGGTTCAATATTTAGACTCGAATAAAAGTCCTAAACAAACATTGCAAACATCCTGAGCATAAAATGCAAGCTATAAGAACACAGATATGGACTTAAGTCTATATCTCTGGATTAGAAAGTTCTCTGCAAAAAAATATCGTTACTGTGTTACGTAATTGTATCTAGTTCATTGAAGTGAAGGAATCGTAAAAGTCGATTCGTTATGAGAAATTGAATCGTGTGATTCGATTCACTAAAAAAAAATGCCCATCACTACTCCCTAGATCTAGAGACTTTATAATGTTTATAATATTCAAATATGAAGTTGGCAACCATACCAAATGTCAACGGGTGTCACGACCGGCGCGCTACCTGTCGGTGAATCGGTAAAAAAAAATTAAAAAAAAGTTTTTTGAAGTAATGTGGTTTTAATTTCTTTTTTCAATTTTATTCCAATAACAGTATTTAAATAGTTAATTTTCCGAATTTATAAATTATTTAAGATGCCTACGATAGCCGTAAAAAGAGATCTCCTCTTTCGATATTTAGAAAAAACCTACAGTAAGTTGTTTTTATCTTTTAGGTTAGATTTTTAAGTTCTGTTTTTTTAGCCGACGAAGAGTTTCAGAAAGTATGCTTCGAATTCGGCCTGGAATTAGACGATATCGTACGTATCTAACGCTAATTTAATTCATACGATAGGGATTTTGTATTTCAGACAACCGAGAGACAAATGATCGCCAGAGAACAAGGCGACGAATCGAGATCAGTCGAGGGGGCCTCGGAAGAGATAATTTATAGAATCGATATACCAGCAAACAGGTACGATCTACTTTGCATAGAAGGACTGGTATTAGGCATTAAAATCTTCCAGGGAAGGTATGTTTTCTCCGTGAATTTGAATGCACAGCATCAGCAAGTTAATTTTGTTATTTCCTTTAGTTTGAATGCTCCAGTTTTTCGGACAGTGGGTTCCGGAATAAACGTTCCCTTAAAAATAAATGTCAATCCTTCTGTGGCGAACGTTAGACCTTATATAGTTGGTGCTATTCTTAGGAACATTACTTTCACGTGCGATTCTTATATGAGTTTTATTGATTTGCAAGATAAGTTGCATCAAAATATCTGTCGAAAAAGGAGTTTGGTAGCCATAGGTCTGTATATAATTACCCAGGGAATATTTGTGAACGTTCAGGATGATGTGTAGGAATGTTCCCTTATAAGAGCATGTATGAGCACTAACAAGCATATTTAAGCACAAACAAGATTCTTTACTTTTGAATCTAAATAACAAATCTTTTTACAAAAATAGTATTTTCACTAATAGTTATTACAGTAGAGGGTTGGAACCTTTGGTGTTACACAGCAAAATAAAACACTAAATCACGACAATACACCAAAGCGGTTAGCGAAACGCGCGTCCAGTGTAAAAGTAAAAGTGTTTTGGTGTATTGTGGTGATTTAGTGTTTTACTGTATATTTGTTCTCAATTTTTTCATATTTGTGTTCTGAATGTTCTTGAAATTTTCATTTTCCTTGAGAATAATAAGAAAATAAAAGAAAATTCAGATTAAAACTTGGAAAAGCAACTGATTATTTTCCAATCTATGTTCTTTTTTCAATTATTTTTGCTCAAATCTGCTTGTCTAGTCTTGTTCGACGTAGGGGAACAAACGCTCTCCAAAAATAAATACATGAGCATTTTACAATAGCCTTGATCATTTTGAGTAATTTTGGAAAAATATTATAGGAACTCATGATTACGATACTATTCAAGGGCCATTTACATACGAGGCTAAGGCACCACAAGATATTAAATTTGTTCCTTTGAATGAGGCTCAGGAATATACAGCTGAAGGATTAATGACCTTATATGCAGTAAGTTAAAAGAAAACGTTTGCCAGTGTTTAGTTTACAACTTTGTTTTAGAATCACGCACAATTAAAGCAGTATTTACCAATAATTAAGGATCAAGCTTTATATCCTGTGATCACAGACTTCAATGGAGTAGTATTGTCGTTACCTCCTATAATTAACTCTGATAATTCAAAAATAACTTTAAATACTAAAAATGTTTTTATAGAATGTACTGCTACAGATTTAACAAAGGTACGCATTTGATATATAGGGTGATTCACGGCGATGGCACGTTAAACGTTTTCGGAGAACCGGAGATAGATTTTTGTTTGAAAATTTGGATTTTTACATAAAGGCACCTGTTCCATCTATCTAAAATATTTTCAGTGTTACCATGTTGCCGCATCATTTGAAAACTGGTAGCATCTTTCTTATTTTAAATGGAACACCCTGTATATTATTACATTTTTGGAAACTACTTTGATATCTCATAATTTTTCTATTATACTAACCTATATCTATCTCTAATAGTTTTTGAGGTAAAAAATAAAACATGCGTAAAATTGACAAAAACATGATCGTGAATAACTATTGGTAAAATTATGAACTGAACATTTTTAAAGTTGATATTTGGGTTATAGGTTAACGTAAATCGTTATATTCGATCTATCTAAATTAACTGATTGGATATTACACAGTGCGTGAGCAAAAATATTATTTATATCCGTTTGTTATCAAATTACTCAAACCTTTGTCATTTTAAATTCAACCCTATGTATATTATTTAAAAAAACAAAACACTAAAAAATTGTTTTTAAACGACATATATCATGTTCCTATACCTAAACATGGTTTCTTAACTACAGCTATTTAAAAATTGGTAATTCTATTAATTTCATTTCAAGAATTTTGTTACCATGATAATTTCAGAAATTTAGCAAGTCTGATCAGTCCATAAGCGTCTAACGTACCATGGCTGTGAATCACCCTGTAGTTTGTCCATCAAAAAAAATATAGTATACATAAAAAATCAAACAAGACAAATCGAAAATAGTTAAAATATTACTGGGTAATTAATTAATACAGGGGGGCGCCTCTCATACGCCGCGGAAGCTCCAAGGAGAACGGTAGTTTATATCGAAATTAAATTTTGGCAGCATATGTAGATTAACTGAGCATTTTTTAAAAATATTTAGAATTATACAGTGTGTCCCCAAAAAAAGTTACACATCAAAGTTGTGTTTTTTCTAATGGAACACCCTCTATCTTAATTAATTTTCGGATTCTAGGAATGAAATAAAGGTGAGTTTTACTAAAGAAGCATATACCTAAAATTTAAGGATTTTGACATATTTCACATTTTGTGAAAATGAAGAGTAAATTTTAAATTTCGATAACAGCTACCTAAATTTTAGTTGCCCTTTTATAGCCTGATATTTAATTACAGTAGCCATTGTATGTTAAACCAAATTGAAATTTGACCCGAAAAGTTATACAGGGGGAGACAAAATTAATATGGAACATTAGTCACTTTTAAAAGCAAGTTACTCCTATATTTTAAATGGAACACTCAGTATATTTTCCGCTGTTCTATGGGGAATTTATATATCTTCAAAATATTATTAAGGTTGCCTACCCCTCAGACTAATATTTTTCTAGATATTTTAATTTTTATGATTTTGCGTCAGTAAATCTTAATTATTTGAAAAAATCTAGGGTATACCTTTTGTTAATTTAACAAAAATTAAAGATTCTAGAGTAAAATACTCAACGGTAATAAAAATATACACGTTTAAAACATATTTTAATTATTACAGAATTAAAACTAGATATAAATCTATAATTATGTGACAAAAATTAGCTAGATGAGATCATATGCTCAAAATGCTTTTTTTTCTGTTAACTGCATAAAATGATTGTTTTTTCAAAAGGATCTTTTCATTTTAAAAGGCATATGTGGAGTTCTACCTTGAAAAACAGCTACAATAATTTCTCTCATGTTGTCGACAAATAGTTGGTCGAGTTTTATAAACACTGCCTTTAACATATCCCCATAAAAAAACAGACTAGATAAAATCAGGAGCATTTAATTGGTGATTGCACACTGCATTCATCAACTAATAGAATCATATCAATTCTCTCTGATGTAGGATAAGTTTGCATTTGCGGGAAATTTCTGAGAATTTTTTTTGTTTTCACTGACACAAAATGATAATTAGTTGTTAGGGTTGGACTAACTAGACAGCTATGTTGAAGTAACGTCAGAGATATCACAGCCACCTAGATTTTATCAAATACTAAAGATCTGCTCAGATCAAATCATGTAAATGAAAATATCTAGGAAAATCTTTGTTTGAGGGGTAGGAAACCTTAATAGTATTTTGAAGAGACATGAATTCCCCATTGAATATTTGAATATGGGAGTAATATACTGGGTGTTCCGTTTAAAATAAAAAAGTAACATGCTTTTAAAGGTGTCCAATGTTCAATATTAATTTTGTCTCACCAATTCTGTATAACTTTTTGGATCAAGTTTTAATTTTATTTAAAGTACAATAGTTAATTTAACTACATATTAGGCTATACCGGGTAAATTCCAATTTAGGTAGCTTTTATTGTAATTTAAAAATTGTTCTTTATTTCTAGAAAATGTTAATTATGTCAAAAAGTTTACCTTTTAGTCATATACGTCTCTTATACAACTCACCTTTATTTTTCTCCCAAAATCCGAAAATCAATTAATATATAGGGTGTTCCATTATAAAAAACACAACTTTGATATGTTACTTTTTTTGGGGACACCCTGTTGAACTCTCTATATTTTTAAAAAGTGCTCTGAATTAACCTACATATGCTCACAAAATTTCATTTCAATACAAACTGTCGTTCTCCTTGGAGCCTCCGCGGCGTATGAGAGGCGCCACCCTGTATGTGAAAATTGAATTCTACACAACATTCCTCTTGACGTATTATATTTAATCATGTACCTTTTTAAATATTTAAGAAGCATTTTAAAAACTTTTTAGTCTACACTATAGCTGAGATAGATGTCTGCCATACTAATAATTGAGAAATATGTATTTTTTTCTTTTGCTTTGTTGAATATTGTCTGTCAAAATAGTAGATATATTCTCTTGCTGGACAGACTTTAGTTATTTATGCAACAATATTCTAATTGATTACTTCGAAAATTTAGGCAAAAATTGTACTGGATACTATAGTATGTATGTTCAGTGGATATTGCGCAGACAAATATTCAGCTGAAAATGTAGAAGTTTGTTATCCAGACCAAAGAGCTTTACTATATCCGGAATTGGCGTACAGAAAAAAGAAAGTATCTGCGAAAAGAGCAAACGGAGTTGTTGGCATAAAAATAATCGATATTTATTTTTCGAAAATATATTAATTTACTTACCTCATCTTT